GTGTGTGTGTACTGGAAGTCTTGATGAAGCGTGAGAAAACACATCTCCTGAATGTATTAATCCCAACTGATGTGACCGTACAGTCATACAGTGGTGTTGAAGCAGGTTGTGTCTTCATGGCAAAGGGCTTTTCTGTATGAAACCGGCTCTCTGGCCTGTTCGCCTGCTGTTCTGTGTCTGGCGACCAGCTACCATTTGTCCATTTGTCTCTAGATGACATCACCGCTACAATCTGTCTCTCAGCTGTTCAGCTGAATGAGGCACTTCACGAATTCAAGCTGAGCTATGATAACATGCAGCATGTCATTTTGCTTTGTCCTATTTTGTAACACGGCCTGAATGTAGAGCTTTATACATTTTCTCATCTGTGTTCAAACAAATCCTTTGTTTTGTCTGTAAGTTGGATGAAGATCCAATTGTGTGTCTCATGAGAAATCTTATTTAATAATATTTGGCCTCTGGAAATCTCTTGCCATGATGATTCACTCATTGCATTTCATTCGCAGCAGCGTCTCATCTCCAGACTTCTTAATGAGGTCAGTGCAGGGAGCAGAAGCAGCTCTGATGAATTGTGTATGACAATGACCAGAGTGCAGACATGAGCTGCTCGGTTTTCAGAGCAAGAAAACACAGTTTATATGTAAAATGTGTAAAACCACAGCACGTGTTTTTGTGTTTTTACATTTTTCCTGCAAACCAGATGTACCTGTTTCCTTGGATAATAAATCCTTAGTTTTAAGCCCCTGTAGGTGTGACTCATGCAGTATAAGAAATTCGGATGTTTACCTGTCATAATCTCCATGAGTTAAATGAAGCAAATGTTTTCAGACTAAGAGGCTTTTAATTTACTACTCTACACTGACTACCCGTAAGCTGCACTTGATCCTGCATCAGTTGACCTGCATCACCCCAACCTGCCCCCAAAAGCTCTGTGCAGGTTTTAAAGCATACTATTTTGAGATTATTGAAAGGTCACGCTGTTGGGCTAATAATCCATCCATCCATTCATCCATCCATCCATCCATCCATCCATCCATTATCTATACACCGCTTGATCCTCACTGGGGTCATGGGGAGGCTAGAGCCTATCCCAGCTGACTCAGGGTGAAGGCAGGGTCACCCTGGACGGGTCACCAGTCTGTCACAGGGCTACACTTAGAGACAGACAATCAAGCACACTCACATTAAAACCTATTGACAATTTGTAATCACCGAATTAACCTCAGCATGTTTTGTGGGAGGAAGCCGGAGAACTCACGCAGTACACGGAGAACAAGCAATCTCCACGCAGAAAGATCCCGGTGCTCCCGCTGGGACGTGAACTGGCAACCTTCTTGCTGCGAGGCAACA